TGTAGCCTAATAATGAACGTCCTTTTCCTTTTTTTTCTCCCCTCTTTTCTGTCTCTTTAAATACAAGGGCTAGTGTGTACTGAATGCACAGATTATATCTATACAGTCAAAAAAGAAAGAGAGAATAAGAGAGAGAGATAGAGAAAACATTTACATTTATATATCAAAGGTAAAATAGGTTAGCGACCTGTGGCCATGCATTCACAGTCTAAATATACATGAAAAAGAAAACATTTTTGCAGTAATATGTATATACATTAAAAACAGAACTTTCAGTGCTACCAGCTAAAACCTGCCACTCAATTCTGAAGACGTTTGTATTACCGAGAAAGAAATAAAAATGGCAACCACAGATTTTTTTTCTTAATCACATATACTTTGTATAAAGGAACAAACTTGTCGAAATGAACTGACCTATATTTACAAGAATACTGCCTCTAAATCAGTGTTTTGCAAGTGAAACTCGACTGAAATTAGACTGAAATCTAATTTTCTTACGTCCCCCTTCCCACCCTCTGAACAAGAAAAGCAAAAAAAAAAAACAAAACAAAAAAAATTATGTAGGCCTACTTTTAACAAGGTTTTGATAAGAAATCACATCATGCTCTTGTCAGGCACTTAATGCTTGAAGTGAATAAAGGGTGACATTTCAGGGAGGCTTTAATAATACTGCTATTAAGCGCCGCTCTGGCCCTGCTTCAAAACTTTTATGACCCCTTGACCTCTCCAACTTCTTTTTCAACAACAAGCCGGGTTATGCTTTCTGTTGCCCTCCAGTGCTCTTGGTTTGCCTCTATAACAGCAGGCCGTGGAGACTTGTAAATATAACAAATTTAATAAATGTTAAAAGTTTCCTTTTAGGTGTGTCCAATTTGAAGAAGTAATGCCTGATATTTGCAGCTGGATGAGATGGGCAGTTGGGGCGGGTTGGGGGTTGATTGAATCATGCAAGCAGATTCAATATTTCTTTCGTAAGAAAAGAAATAATAATAATAAAAAAACAGCTCCTGTAACTTCATAATAGCACAAAATAATGAAAATATGGGTCATAAAGTTCAACACCTCCCTAGTTTTGCCCCACATTGTATTGGTCTTCCTAAGTGTATAAGTGCGCTTGCAGCATTAAGCCTATTCTCCTATTGCTGTGGTTTTAATTCTCTTTAGAACCTTTTGTTTGTTTGTTTTTTTTTATTTATTTCTTTACATTATTTCACCATTTTTAAAATAAATCATTGTCTTAAAAAATAACATCACCTGAACTACAGAAATCACATAGGCCGGTTTGTAACCAGAAAGGAAGAACAAAGAAAGTACAAAAACACAGCTATACATGGACACAGGACAAGTCATTTCAGAAAATGAATTTTTTTCCCCTTTCTTAACTTTTTTCTTTTTTTTTAACCCAATTTTTTTTTCCATTTTAAATGCACTTAATACTTTTTTTTTCATAAGGATCAAAAAAAAAAAAAAAAAAAAAAATCCCTTCTTTTTTTTTCCTCATTTTCTTCTTTCATTAAAAAAAATGAATAGGAGCATGTTGTTCTTGCTGAACACTGTGGGAGCTTGTATTTTGAAAGTTCAGTTGGATGTCTTAATTTTTCTTTTTTCTCTCAGAGTAGAGGGGTGGGGGTTGAATTCACAGTCATTTATGTCTTTCTTCATGAAAGCCAGCCCCGTGTAACAGCCGTTTTTAAATCCTTCCACAAAAGCAGCTATAATCAATGAATTCCCCCCTCCCTCCCCCCACCCCACCACCCCCTCATGCCCCCCCCTCCCCCCCCCCCCCCC